TGACTTAATCGGAACGGCCGAAAAATCATTCGATCAATTTTTATCAGGTGTTCCAGGAATTATGAAAATAGCAGTAAATTTATAAAATCATGTTCACATTTAAGGCTACGGAGTCGTCAGTCTTATGGATAATTACCGGAAGTAAGGTCTCATCGGGTGATATCGGATAAAAATAAAAAAATAAACAGCAAAAATCGAATAATTGGCACAATTGGGGATGTAATTTTTTTGAAACATTGAAAAAATCATGTGAATTAGCTAGTAGGTTTTTTGAGATATAGCACCCCGATGGTAATTACCACCGGTTATAGTTAATAATATATTCAATAAAAATCTTTAAGATTTGATTATATGTCGATGTATATATAAAATTTGCTGATCAAAGTAATTTTAAAAAATAGTCTACAATAATAACTCGTTTAACAAGACATCATCGGAGTTCAACGTGCGATATAATTCCAAATTGAACTCATTATTGACAAAAAGCTTATGGCACATTTTATCTATAGCAATAACGCTTAACACAGTTTGCACATATGCATCAATTAAATCATCAATACCAAATCCAGTTGTATCAAACTCTTTCTGGTCAATTGTAATTACTCTTTCATATTCATGTTCTTCCATCCCACTAGAGTCAGTTACATTTGTTCCAAAGACTTTCCATGGGTTCCCTATTATATTTAAAATCTGTTAGTTTTAATTAAACCTAGGAAATGTATATCCAAAGATAGTGCAATGCAAGGATAGTCTATACAGTAAGTCTGAAATTTGTGCCAGGTTATGTGATTGTAGCCAATAAAATCATAAGATCATATGTAATATAAAAACATTGAGAAAAAAGAAAATCTTAATTAACTAAGATTTTACTATGCAAACTATAGTTTGACTTCTAAATAAAATTTTCGGCACGAAATTTTAGTTAACATGGCACAGATTTCAGACGTGCACCTATATATACATGTTATATTAATCATTAACTTACAATTAGAATCATTTGGTTGATAGATGGGTTGTGGCTTACTAGCACGTCGTGAACTAATATTCACAGGATGAAATCCAGTATCATCTGCAGATACCATCATTCTCAGGTCATTAACAAAAGTTTGATTATGAAAATTTGGCATAGTACCAATATGGTATAATTTTTCAGAACATGATTCTGTAGACCATAATGCACTTCCAACAAGAGATTGTATAACAAATTTTTCATAATGATGATTAGTATCCAAGAATTCTTTTAATTCTTCTGAATTAGTGATTATGTAAATACCCTGTCCTAATTTTTGTAAATAAAAGATAATTAGACCTGCGTTATTTGCAATTTAAAATATAACAATCAATTACTGTATGTAGAGAAAATATTTACCGCAACAGCCATAGGGAGCTTTAATCACCGCATGACCACCCATCTTTTCGATACATGAAGGAATTTCGCACTTGCTTATATTGCATACGGTTTTTGGAAAACGAATAGCAAGTCCACTTTCAGAAAGTTCAGTATTAAATATTTCAAATGATTTTGCTGCCATAATTTTGTTTTGACCACCAGCCAAGCATGCGATTATATTATTAAAGACCACAGTCTTAGATTTTAGAGGAAAACGAATCCAAGGTTTATAAGCCATATGATTAAAACATGCTCTAATAGGGTGCTAAACTAATTATGAAAAGCAATTGATAGTAAATATTAGATTTGCAATTTTTGATAGCATAATTAGTAATTGTTTGCAATTTTTTATAGTATAATTAGTAATTGTTTGATAATAACCTTCATCTTGATCTTTTATATACATAACTTTATTCTCCCATTTAAAAAGTTGATCATATTTAGCAACATCATAAAGCATAACGATCCAAACACGTTCTTTAGTCTCTTCAGCGATTGCAGCCGCATACCCAGTTGCTTCTATTTCATCGCAAGCCATATCACACACTACGGCAAGCTCACCAAGAGAGGAATCAGCGTCTTTTAGAGCGTGTTTAAATGCCGTTTGTATTACGAGTTTATAGCCATTGTGTCTTTTATTATTTATATCTAGCGAAGGCATTGAGCATTGTCCTGCAGGACCTGAACCGGATTCAATAATGAGCATTTGTCGTTTACCATTTGAATTAATTACATTGAAGAAATCAGAAGCTAAGAAGAAAGTAATATTAAAAGGATATTACTATATATATTAATAATTAAACCAAATATATCGTTCTTAATATACATTCAACATAAATCGAAGTAATCACCTGCCCATTTAAAAAATTTTGGTTCATACTCTAAACAATTTCTCAAAACATTTACATCAATTTGAGGATTTAAGTTTTTATATCTTGTAATAATACGATCATTTTCTAAACTGAAAAAAGAAGATACAATAGGATGAACTGTGGCACTGAGAGCTTTTGAAATAACACAAAATTCCGGATTAACATCCCCCGGATATACTTTCTTTGTTGGGTTATTAATAGACATGGAGTTAATAAAAAACATTATTTTCTTGCTCTTTTGTATCTGAATTTAAGATTGAATCATTCACTGGAGATACTGTATTCATGTTGTAATTCATGTTGTGAGAACGAAATTTAAGTGAAGTTTCTTTTAGTAATGATTTAAAAGAAGAGATGAGTTTTATGCGTGAATCAGAGGTGATATATTCGATGTTACTATTACACAATTTTTTTGTAATTTACATGTGAGTTATTATTATATAATTTTCTGATTATTATTACGAATATTACCACTAAATTTTACCGTTACGTAATAAGTAAAAAAAACTGATATTTGTAAAATATGCCAGATCGGATTTTAAATTTATATAATTCCGATTCAGATTGTGAATCGTAATAATAAGTATTGATATGAAAAAATACGTAAAGGGTAAAAAAAAAAATTAAGTATTTACAGTATTACCTGTTACTTATTTATTATCTTGCCCATCTCTAATGATAACAATTGCTGATGACAGGTTTCTTTCGGCGGCACTGTATTAAATTAAAAAATGCATATAAATTAATTTTTAGAAATCTAATTCGGATTAGTTTCTATCGGCGTTATTTCAAATTGAACTTAGAAACATATATATCTAATGAAATTTTGTCTAGAGATGGCAAGGTAGGTAATTTATTTATTATAATCACTATGCGACAATTTGGTATGTTATTAGTTGTAAGTATATATTATTAGTAAATTGTCGCATAGTGTGATTTAACTTTTACATAATACTGTAAGTAGTGTTCAAAAGAACAGGAGCGACCGTCAAGGTTACACAAGCTGCCGATAACCTCCGGCCATCAGTCAGCCAATCAAAATTTCAAGG